TGATCACTTTTCCAGCGAAGAAGAGGCCCTTGCGTCTTGTCAGTGAAGAAGTGAGTCTAGGAAGCAGTCCGAAGCCCCGCCTCAACGGACAGTCACGGAAAGACAGTGAGACCCAGAGAAGCAGCGTCCAGCCAGGGTCCGGGCAAGCCCCGAGTCCCCATCTCCCGGCCCCAGGCCAGTGTCTGTCCACTACACAATGTCTTCCTCTGCTGGGGTCCCGCTGGCTTTCCAGTCAGAAAAGTTAGTCCAAGATGCACCTTCCCTGTCCATCACCATGTTCTTTCCTTCCGGGCTGTGTGTCTTGTGTTCCAGAATGGGAAACAGCCAGTTTCTTTTCCCTAATCAAGCATATGATTCTGGTGCCTCAAATACATCCCTTCTCACTTGCCAGGCCCCTGTCTTTGCCTCGCTCCTGAATGATCTGAAATCCTTGTTTAGATCAGATCGGGTTGGGGTCTGTGGGTAACAGAACTCATTCTCCCAGGCCTGGGCACGCACCTCTTCCAGAACTCCTCATGGGCTTTCCTGTCACGCGCACAGACACAGACACAGACACAGCCCTCGCTCCCAAGGGCTGTCACATGGGTGCGTGTGAAGATAGCAAGTCCATGCATCCCTCCAAGGCCCCCCACCCCCACACCCAATGAGGGGCTCACCATAGAGCAAATGTTAGGAGAGATTTCGGATTAATGCATCCTTATCAGGCTTCACTCATACTGCCCTTGGTTCTGATCATCCATTAGCCCCAGCAAAGAGCAGGCCCTGAAGAAGTGCATTGGAGAGCAAGTGGCCTGGAGACAAGGAATCCAGGGAGGTAGCAATGTGTGAAAGCGGGGGTGCCAACCGTGAGGACACTCAGGGGTCAGGCAGAGGCATGGAGACCCCAAAGGAAGGGATTTCAAGCCACCTCCTAGTTCAGGTCAAGATGAGTTCGGAACTTACAAACCCAGAGGTGCCCTCGCACACGGAACCTGGGGTGATGGTGTGTGGGCACAGCAGACCCTCTGCAGACGCATTTCCATCACTGGTGTCCAGCTCCACCCCTCCCTCACCCCAACAGGCCCAAAGATACCCACAGGAAGTCTGGACACTCTAAGCGGAAGGTCCCCTCGTCTTGGTCTTGGCTGTGTTCACCCTCACCTTAACAGCACCTTAAATCTAATCTGCTAACTAGGATTTGTACATTGACACCTGCAACATACTAGCAACTTATATTTAAAAACAGAATTAATCACACTGATTTTTAAATGGAAAATATGTAAATATGAAGTATTTGGTTTTGTGTTTGTTTTATTTTAAAGATAAGGAAATGTACACTGCTCCTCATGTGCCATTTGTCCTCAGAGGGCGGCTTTACATTTTTGGTAAAGGAACAAGCTGCTGACCTTGACCAGAAGTTCATATATAATTGTTATTACAGAGGAATTGTTATTACTACTCAAGTTTTTTTAAAAAATTTATTAAGCATTATTAAACTTGATCAGGATGGGCCAAATAAAGTTATATTGGAACATGGATTCATTGGTTCATTTGCATATTATCTCACTCATGTATGTTATCTGATCTTGTCTTGAGCTGTGGGTGATCCATCGGGCCTGTCTGGCTTCTCCCTGCACCCGTGAAGACTGGTGTTTGGAGGGATTGCAGTTGGAGGAGAGATGAGAACCTACACAGATTGGTAGTCAGGAAAGTGATTCCAGAATCATCTGGGTCTGGCCTGGTGTTTATATTGTAGATTTCAAACCAAATCTAGGAGCCAATTCCAAACCTTCAGACCAAGACTCATCCTTTCCTCCAGTGACAAAAGGTGCCAACATCATGAGATCTGGGGGAGCCAACCACCCAGAAATACCAGCCTGAGCCACACCTTACAGAGGCCCGAGAACCCACCCATCTGAAGTTCACCCTTTTGTAATACCTGTGTCAAAGCATTAGCCCAAACTTCATTCCTTATTCCACAAGTAGACAGTAGAGAGGGTTTTAATAATAGGTTTCTGTTTATTTTGATTTCTCTGAAAGACCTTTTGATTAAAGGAACTTTCTACTGTTGAAATGCATCTGAGCCAAGAGGAGCATCCTGTTAAGCCAACTGGGATTCTCTCCAAAGTGTCAGTGGAGAATAACTATCTCCCAGCTGGGCAGATGCAAATGAAGAGAGTGGCCCAGAGCCAGGGCAGAGTCCTGATTGAAATTTTGTATTTGAGAAGCCTTGAGGCCTGGGGCTGCTAGAATGTAGAAAATGGGGTTTGAGGCAGAAGGAATTGAGAATCCCTAATAGCAAACAGCACTAAAAAGTATCCCCTCCTGCCCGGCCAGCATGGCTCAGTGGTTGAGTGTCAACCTATGAACCTGGAGGTCACGGTTCAATTCCTGGTCAGGGCACATGCCCAGGTTGCGGGCTCAATCCCCAGTGTGGGGTGTGTAGGAGGCAGCTGACCAATGATTCTCTCTCATCATTGATGTTTCTATTTCTCTCTTTTTCTCCCTTCATCTCTGAAATCAACTTAAAAAAAATTTTTTTTTAATGTGTCCCCTCCCACAGGAATTGCATGGGGTCATACTTAATTCTCCCAGCAGCAATATGTGACAACACGTGTTAAGTACTATCAACTGGGGAACCTCACCTGAGTGCTGAGGTTCAGGTGTCCAGAGTTTTTATTGGAGATCATTCGTGTAGGACTCTGTGACTGATCTGAGTTACTCAGTCTTCAGTCCCTCAGAGATCAAACTGATGCAGGACGGCCCAGGACCTCCAACTTGCAAAAACACTCTTACAGGCAGGATATCTCAGGAGCTCAGAGGTTATGGCCTGGGAGCTAGTGAAGGGCCGGTCCTCTGAAGATCTGCCTTCCTTTAGAGCAGGGGTGGGGAACCTTTTTCCTGCCAAGGGCCATTTGGATATTTGTAACATCATTCATGGGACATACAACATTATCAACTTAAAAATTAGCCTGCTACATTTGGTCAAACATTTAATTAACTCACCCCTAATGCCTTGGCAGGGCCCAACCAAATGATTTCGTGGGCCCCTGCTTTACAATATACAAGGTTTGAGAAATGAGGGTCTGCTGAGTTAACCTCTACTGACTTTGAATACAGTTGTGTCTCCTGGACTTCTAAAGTTGTGTGAGTGTGTCTCATGTGAACATTACAGCAAAGCTGAGGCAACACAGCTATTTGTTTGGTAGAATATACCTACATAGTTTTAACAGCATGCAGCATTATTAAAATACTAGAGGCCCGGTGCACAAAAATTTGTGCACTCGGGGGGGAAGGGGGGGTCCCTCAGCCCGGCCTGTGCCCTCTCACAGTCTGGGACCCCTCGGGAGATAACGACCTGCTGGCTTAGGCCTGCTCCTGGGTGGCAGAGGGCAGGCCCAATCCCTAAGTGCAGCCCCTGGTCAGGCTCAGAGCAGGGCCGATTGGGGAGTTGGGGCGCCGCCCCCTGTCATGCACAGAGCAGGCGGATTGGGAGGTTGCGATGCCACCCTCAGTCACACTCAGGGTAGGGCTGATTGGGGGGTTGGGGCACCACCTCCTATCACACTCAAGGCAGGGTCAATGGGGAGGTTTCGGCGCCACCCCCTGTGATGCACAGAGCAGGGCCAATCAGGGGGTTGGGGCGCTGTCCCCTGTCACTCACAGAGCAGGGCCAATCAGGGGGTTGGGGCACTGCCCCCTGTCACGCACAGAGTAGGGCCGAAAGGGGAGTTAGGGCACCGCCCCCTGTCACACACACAGCAGGGCGGATCAGGGGGTTGGGACGCCGCCCTCTATCACCCACAGAGCAGGGCCGATCAGGGGGTTGGGGCGCCGCCACTGTCACACTCAGGGCAGGGCCGATGGGGAGGTTATGGCTCTACCCCGTCACACACAGAGCAGGGCCCGTGGGGGGGGGGCGGTTGGGGCGCCACCCCCTGTCACACACAGAGCAGGGCCGATCAGGGGGTTGGTGCGCTGCACCCTGTCACACACAGAGCCGCAGGGCGATCAGGGGGTTTGGGCGCTGCACCCTGTCATGCTGATCTGGTGCCAGGAGGCCTCTCGGCTCCGCTGATCCCGGTGCTGGGAGGCATATTACCCTTTTACTATATAGGATAGAGGCCTGGGGGCCGGCTGGTTTGCCCTGAAGGGTGTCCTGGATCAGGGTGGGGGTCCCCACTGGGGTGCCTGGCCAGCCTGGATGAGGGGATGATGGCTGTTTGCAGCTGGTCACACACCCTTCAGGGTGGGGGTCCCCACTGGGGTGCCTGGCCAGTCTGGGTGAGGGGCTGAGGGCTGCTTTCAGGCTGATGGTTGTTGATTGAAGCTCCCAACCGCTCCTTTTTTTCTTTTTTTTTTTTTTTCTTCTGGGCCAGCTTTAGCTCTGGCTCTAGCTCTGAGGCTTCCGCTGCTGGTTTGTTTGCCGTTCTATAATCGAAACAATGTATAACTTCAGCTCTGAGATCCCAGCCGGCTATATTTGTTAGAATGTTTCAAACTGCCAGCTCAGAGGCCGGCAGCGCAGGCGGGGAACATTGCAGTCTGCAGTCACTGGAGCAAGCAAGCCTCATGTTCGCTTCCAGCTGCCTGGCTGCCGGCCGCCATCTTGGCTGACAGTTAATTTGCATAAGGATACGCTGATTAGCCAATGGGAAGGGTAGCGGTCATACGCCAATTACCATTTTTCTCTTTTATTAGTGTAGATAATAAGCCCAAGCCGGTTTGGCTCAGTGGTTAGAGTGTAGGCCTGCAGACTGAAGGGTCCTAGTTTTGATTCCCATCAAAGGAGGGCACATACCTCAGTTACAGGCTTGGGCCCTGGTTGGGGCATGTGCAGGAGGCAACCAATTGCTGTGTCTCTCTCACATCAATGGTTGTTTTTGGTTTTTTTCTCTTTCTCTCCCCCACCCTTCTACTCTCTTTGAAAATCAATGGAAAAAATATCCTCGGTGAGGGTTAACAAAAAATATAATAATAATAATAGCACGCATGCTGAAGCAGGTGTTAGGCAATCTAACACCTGAGATGCCTTTTCTTATTGAATCATGGCTGCCCATGGAAGCCAAGCTTGTCAACAGATTTGCAAGCTAGCTCCCTGCTCATTCTGTCATGGTTATTACCACTGGGGCAATAATGGCATATGCATGATGGATTGCTTTAGGAAGCTTCATTTCCACCTACCTCCGAGCTGTCCTCAACGCCAAGCTGAGGGCTTCAGAGTTCTGTGGCCGAGGGAGCTCTCTGGCGGTGCAGCCCACCAAGGGATGGCCATGCGAACCAAGAGGCAAGACTGAGACCTGAGGGTGTCAACCTCAAGCTGAGCCATGCCCTGCCCCAACCCTCGGAAGATGGTTCTCTGGAGGCTCTGGAGGTGAGAAGGAAGGAAGATATCAGATCCTCACTTATGGGCTCCAACCAGTTATGATTAGAAGGTGTGATGGTTAATTTTATGTGCCAACTTGATTGGGTCATGGTGCCTGGATATTTAGTCAAATGTTATTCTGGATGTTTCTGTGAGACTGTCTTTGGATGAGCTTAACATTGAAAGCAGATTGCCTTCCATAATATGGGCGGGCCTCATCCCATCAGTTGAAGTCCTGAATAGAACAAAAGACTGACCTCCCCTGAGCAAGAAGGAATTCTGCCAGCAGATGACCTTTGGACTTCAACTGCAACATCAGCTCTTCTCTCCTATTCTACAGATTTCAAGTTTACCAGTCTCCATAATTGTGTGAGCCATTTCCTTAAAATAAATTTCTCTCACCCTGGCTGGTGCTGCTCAATGGTTGAAACATCGGCCCGCACACCGAAGGGTCCTGGGTTTGATTCCTGGTCAAGGGCATGTA